CCCCTGTTTAAAAAGTTTGAGGACCCCTGATGTAGGTGATAAATGAACCTTCTACTCACAGAGCCAAGGCCTCCAAAAACAGGGAGAAGGACCAGAGAGTCCTTGGGGAGAGCTCTGGAGACCGCGTGACAGACGCAGGCCTGTGAGACCGTCACTAAATCATTCATGCGTGCAGCGTGTACTCATCGCGTCCCTTCCCGTGGACCAGGGGGCCCAGTCCTGCCATAAACACTGAGAAGCAGGCGGTCTGGAGAGGGAGATGGGAATATCGATGACGAGGACACCGCATGGCCGAAGCCCTGGTAACACAAGTGCTCAGGAGGGAGCACTGCCCATCTCCGACCGGCCCCGGCAAGTTGATCAAGGAAAGCTTCACGGAAGAGGTGACACCCGAGAGGAGTCAGAAACGAGGGAGAAGAACTGGGCAGATAAAATACTGGGGTTGAGGGGCGAGGGCGAGCGAACAGGAGACAGTCATCCACAGAGGCGAGCAGAGGGGATGCCAACAGAGGCCGGAGGGTGAAGGTCTCACAGACCATGGAAAGGGGCTTGTGTGTGGCCCCGACTGGACTAGGTTGTTTTTTTGTTTTTAAATATATTTTTACTAGAGGCCCGATGCACGAAATTCGTGCAAGAATAGGCCTTCCTTCCCCCGGCTGCGGGCACCGGCTTCCCTCTGGCACCCAGAACCCGGGCTTTCCTCGCAGCCCCGGCTTCGTCCGGAAGGTCGCCCGGAAGGACGTCCAGTCTAATTAGCATATTATGCTTTTATTATTATAGATTGATTTCAGAGAGGAAGGGAGAGGGAGAGAGAGATAGAAACATCAATGATGAGAGAATCACTGATCGGCTGCCTCCTGCACGCCCCACACCGGATATCAAGCCCACAACCCAGGCATGTGCCCTGACCGGGAATGGAACCGTGATCTCCTGGTTCATAGGTCGACGCTCAATCACTGAGCCACGCCGGCTGGGCTGTTTCCCATGCATCTTAATTTTGGGTTCCGCCAAAAGCAAAACCTAAGCAAAGGACTTAGGTGCAGATCATTTACTTGAAATATGGTCCCAGGAGACAAGAGTTGAAGGAGCAGGGAGAATAAGGGGAGAAGAAAAGAAGCAAAAAAAAAAAAAAAAGTGATGGAGCTGGTCACTGGGCAAAGGGGCTCCATGGCACGGGACTGTCTCAGTCTTGTTCTTCCTGTGGAATGAGGTTGGGGCTACCTACAGGCTCTCACCCCAAAGGGAGGGTGGCCCAGGGAGTGTGGGGACAGCTCCCTGGACTCGGTGGTGGGCGGGGGGGGTGGGCTGTGCCTGCACCGGGGCTCACAGCTGGTCCCGCCTCCCAGAACACTGGGCAAAGGGGCTCCATGGCACGGGACTGTCTCAGTCTTGTTCTTCCTGTGGAATGAGGTTGGGGCTACCTACAGGCTCTCACCCCAAAGGGAGGGTGGCCCAGGGAGTGTGGGGACAGCTCCCTGGACTCGGTGGTGGGCGGGGGGGGTGGGCTGTGCCTGCACCGGGGCTCACAGCTGGTCCCGCCTCCCAGAACACCCGAGGTAGAGATGGTGCGGGCACGCAGTCACTGGAGGGAGAACTGTCAATCACTCCTGTGCGGAAACCAGCTGGGCCGGGGCTGCCTCTGATGTCCGGCTCCCGAGAAACGGTGGGTGTGTGGAAGCCAGAGGCGCTTGCACCCCAAGGAGTGCGGTGCTCTCCCCGCCCCCAGGCAGCGTGGTGGATGGAGGGTGGCGGGTGAAGAGGGCCCAGCCTGGCCTGAATGGCCCTCACCTC